AGAGAGAGAGCGAGAGAGAGAGAGAGAGAGAGAGAGAGAGAGTGGGACAATAAGGATGGAAGAGAAGAGCAGAGGTTGCCATGACTACCAAGAACCAGTGGCGCCATTCGTAGCGAAGACGTATCAGATGGTGAGCGACCAGAGGTTGGACTCCTTGATCCGGTGGGGGAACCAGAACAACAGCTTCCTCGTTGTCGACCCCAACGACTTCTCGCAGCTCCTCCTTCCCTCCTTCTTCAAGCACCGCAACTTTTCCACCTTCATCCGCCAGCTCAACACCTATGTCTGCTGACCCTACTTCTCCTTTCACCACCATCTCTCTCCCACCCTGTCGAACTCACTCATACGTGCTCTTGGGTTGGTGTCCAGGGATTTCGGAAGGTGGATCCTGATAGATGGGAGTTCGCTCATGAGTCGTTCCTCAGAGGGCAGGCTCACCTCCTCCCTTCTATCACCAGGCGGCGGAGGAAGACCCAAGGTGTCCTGCATGGAAGCAGTAGCAGGGGCAGGGGAGGCGTGGATGGGGAGGAAGAGCGGCTGCTACTGCAGGAGCTCGAGAAGTTGCAGCAGCAACAGAGAAGTCTCGAGGAGGAGGTGAAGGCCATGAGCAAGCGAGTGCAGGCCACCGAACGGAGGCCGCGTCAACTTATGTCCTTCCTCGTCAAAGTGGCCGAGGACCCCAAGCTTCTCCTGCAAAGACTCGTTCGCTCCAAACAGCAGCAGCAGCTATCTACGGAGAAGAAGAGACGGGTATTCGCTTCCCCTGCAACAACTTTGCTGCCTTTCGATGAGGTTTCAGCAATGCTTAAGCCTTCACGTACGGAACCAAAACCACTTGAGGTCGGTGGTTTTGATCTTTCTGCACGTCAAACAAGTTCCCAACCTGAGTTTGGACTGAGCGGGACGAGTTCAGGGACAGCATCATCAACAGTAGCCTTCCCCTTCACCTTGCTCGACCAAGGATTTTTCTAGCCTTACGTCTGCAGGTGCTACAGTAGCGAGAGTCCAAAAAAAAAAATCTGAGGATCAATCTTACTCTATCTTTGGAGAATCTAGTCTACAATTGGAAGACTTGCTTTAAGCGCATCTTCCATTACCACTCTGTATACTTGTTAATCTAGTAGAAGAGATCTTACATTCCGGTTATCCTTGTCTTGAGTCTTCAACGTTTACATGAGCCCTTGCTCTTCTGTTCTACTCTCAGTAAGCTACATCACAGTCGTGTATCATCGATCGAGATGGGACTTGATGAGCTAATGATGGAAGGCAGACAGAGAGACCAGGAAGCCGACCTTTTGCCTCCTCTTTTCTGTGGAGTGAATCGACACCGGACCCGGGGAAGGGATAAGGGAGCACGGAATTCGATGGCTTCACTTTCAAATGAAGGAAACGAAGATGCGGTGGAAGGAGGACGACAGACCTGGCGTTGCACACGCGGCCGACGTGCAGTGATGGCGGCTCAAGACTAGCAAAGCACAGGTCCAACGACCAAAAGAACGACGCTCCCCTCGTAGTTACCTACCTAATGTTGGTAGGGCCCCATAAGATGCATGCAGCACATGGCCTCCAATCACGAAACAAGTGTGTCAGGTGTAAAGACCAGTCGGGTAGAAACAAGAAAAAAGGACTTTTGACGATGGAAAGCGGCTCCATCGTCGGGGAAAAGAGAGATGGGGACGGGAACCTGTAGTGGGACCCGTCGACACGAAGGTTCTACACTTGAATAGTAAGCTTGTTTGTTCTCTCTTTGCTCCTTTTCTTTAGAGTGATGGGAGTCCAAAAAAGTCCACAACGTTCTCGGTCCAATCTGCGCTCAACTATTGACGTCCCTCCTCCAAAAAGTAAGATCCTTCATGTATATAACTAATTATCATTTTCGGTAGTTTAGCTTAAAGTTTTTATGATCTAATATATAATTATAAAATTTAAAGGAAACTAAAGTTTTAACCAGCTGAGGGAGATTAATTAGTAATGGGTATATATGCTGATTTCTATCTTTTACAGTGAGCTTAAATTTGCAGATATAAAGTGGTCAATCAATACCTTTGAATTGATATATATTGCATGTCAACAAATTCCTTACACTGCTATTTCAGGTTTTATCCTCCTCCGACTCTAAGATAGAAGTAGTAGTGACAAGTATGTTTAATATCGCATTTGTTTAATAGGAGAACCACGAACTTATAAAGCACAATACTCACTTCTATCCTCGTAGTGTCTTTTGGATCTACTATAAACTTTTGCGGGATCCACCCAGAATGAACAATTCCTATCAAACCCTCATGCTCAAACCGATGAAGTCAAATAATAACTTATCAAACGACACACTAGGTAGAAGCCCAAGTGGCATCGATTCCCCTATTGAGACACTGGTACATGCATTTAGTTCCACATCGACTAAGGATCAAAGAAACTCAAGCCTTAAAAGCGATAAAATCAATTTTAGCTCAGTTCAGCAAAACCGTGCAAGACCCACTAAGAGCGAACAAATCTTTTCGAGTTCTCATGCTCATAGACAAATGATGATTCATCAACTAATGAAGCCCCACATAAAACAAACCTAACCTTATCGAGAACACAGTAACAATGCACAAGTCCTCCCCTTCTCCCAAAAATTTCTTTTGAGAAATTTGTTTAAAGTCAAAATCCATAGAGAAAAAAAGAAACCTCAAAGGATGTTAGACTATGATTCAGTATGTCATCACTAGCAATAAACTGAATTGACAAAAAAACTATGATTCAGTATGTCATCACTAAAGCACATAATATTAGTACACTCTCAAAATAATAGTATAGTTATGCTCCATCAAACTTAGATTTAATCTGGACCAGCTCAAGGACATTCATGTATCATGGTGATTAGTAGGTGCATATTGTTTTCTATGTTGGACTTCTAATATTCCTGTGGATCATTGAATGTGTCAGTACCATCTCAGAAAGCTACATTGAACAAGTGATAAGCACACTTTCATTTGACAAGGAAAGAAGCTTAGGGCAGACACCAATATCAACCTATAATACATGTTTGCTCATATCATATCCAATAATAAGAACTGTATATTTTCCATGATGAGGATGAGTTCATAATTAATGGTGCTAACCATCTTACCAGGGTGAGTATCATAAAAAGGCTAATTTGTTGATTGCCAAGTCACTGATAACTAATGCTAGGTCTCATGTCTTCACTAGAAGAATGATCAAAATTCAATAATGACAATACAAATAAAGAGATTACCTTTATCTGAGTCTTCATAAACCCAAACAGGTCCACAATATCACCAGAAGACAAATGTAACCTTCAGTGACAAATTGTTGGCAGACAAATAGACATGGGATTCATAAAGAATACATATGATTGCCAGCATGTATAACTTGTTATCAAACACTTAGAAGGCTTAAAAGACAACTCAGAATGAAACCTATTAATCATTTGGAAACAATCCATAGCATCGATCAATTATAAAGGAGAGAGATGTGCATATTAATATCATATAATTCATCCAACAATAAATTCCACATTAGCCATCACTAGTGTGAGCTCTCGGAACCACGAGGAATTGCTCTGGGTTGAACCTTACATGATTTTACACCTTTGGAATGGACCCAAAAGACTATAGGGTAGGAAAGAAGTCGCTTTTGGATCTTAATTAGGCCTTGACTCTAATTACCCAACCAATGTTAGACTAAATGTGGTCTGATATTATCGTAGGGCTTAGTTGGGGAGTAAGGCTGAGAAAAATGTCCACTCTGGGATGGGCTGTAAGATTTTATTCTTTTGGGATGGACTCCAAAAGATATCTTTAAGAGAGGAGTCAAAGGGTCTCTTTGTTAGGCATCGACTCTTAATTAGACATTGCAAATCCTCAACCAATGTGATAAGAAATCAAGCTTTATTTTCCACCTCACAAGGCAAATTTGGAAACCTAGCTCAAGATTTAACAGCTATTGTGATCTACACATCAATGGTACTGAATGAAAACGTATTATCATGATCTTTTCTGCATCTTCAGATGAACAAGAACAAACGATTAAGCTAATAAGGTAAGCTAAATGCACTTATATACCGTCAAAGAGAAAAGAAGCAGACCGACCATTACAAACAATAGCAAAATCATGAAATCAAGCATTGCGACTTCCAGATGAAGAAGCGCATACCGGTCAGACGGGGCTGAGGAGCTGGTAGAGCTGGGGTTTGGGCTCGGACTGCATGCCGATGACGATGATGAGGATGACGAAGCTGTAGTGTGTGATCACCTTGGCCTTCTTCATCGCCCATGATCGCTCTTCTGGCACCTTGGAGCCCTTCCCGTCCCCAGCCTCGCCTAAAACCCTACCTTTACCGCCGTTGCTGCCTCCAACTGTTCACTTTAAGCCGAGAACGCCTCTGTGAACACAATCTCCACCGTCCATGTGGGCTGTTACAGTAAGTCCAATTTTTAGGTCAATAACTCATAAAATTGCATATATTTATTAAAAAAATAAATAATAAATGTTTTAATATTTTTTATATCTTTATAAAAATGATGTTAGAAAATGAAAAAAAATACATTTTCCCTTTTAAAATCATATATTAGATAATGAAAAACTATTTTCATATTTTAAAATTTTTATTTCGTATTTTCATATTAAGCTACAACACATCGGACCATGAGTTGGTCTATTGGGCCTCGATCTACGTTTACACCTATCGGGCCCTAAATTGGTCTGTTGGGCCTCGATCTAGGTTTATACATAACGGGAGTTTAGGGTCTCATCTATCGGTTAGTCTCTCCCCTCTTCACGGTGATCATATCTTTGTAGCGGCAGCGATCCGAGCAGCGCAAGAGATCAGCTATCGAGGAGGGAAGGAGAGGAGAGCGGAGCAGAAATGGGGGGCGGCATGGAGGTCAACAAGAACAAGTACATCGAGGACTGGAACGCAGCGAGGGAGAACCTCGAGTTGAACTTCCGCTGGACCCGCCGCAACCTCGCCCTCATCGGCATCTTCGGCCTCGCCGTCCCCATCCTCGTCTACAAGGGCATCGTCCGCGAATTCGTACCGATCTCCTCCTCATCTCCATCCTCGTCTTTCTTTTCCCGCTTCGTCTTCTTTTTCCCCTCTTGATCCTCACCAGTATAAGTAAATCCCCTAATTGCTTGCCATCGATGGTTTAATCCTCTGTGGTTTTTGGTGTTTGTGGCAGCACATGCAAGATGAGGACGCCGGAAGGCCTCTGAGGAAGTTCCTGTGAGAGATCCGTCAAAGGTTGTGTGCTTCCCTTTCTTCTGAAATAATAATAGTATTACTGAAGGCGATGTCGTGATGTTGGTCGTCAGAGTTCTGTACGATTCAGAAACGCGGTTGCCTGATCCGTCGTTAGTTACTCCATCATGTTCCATAATTCTGCTTGAGTTTGATGTGTGAGAACCATGACTTGTGGTAAATCCATGGTGAACTTGTGGTTTCCCTTTCCTTCTGATTGTGCATCTTATAATGTTTATCTAGGTCACTTGGTAGTGTATAGTAAAGATCAAAGATAAGGTAATTCATTTGAAGTAACCATTGCTGATAGTTGTTATGCTGCAATTATAGGTAAGGTCCTTTCTCGACTAGCGAGACATGAATTTCTGACACTATCTGCAAACCCTGTGAATGAAATGTTTAGTAGAATAATGAGCCCTCATGTGAATTAAGCAGCTTCTTGTGATGACAGCTGAGATGTTCTCCACAAGCAAGCACCATTGAAATTGATAGGAATCCTGTCCTCATCGACCGGTTATACCTGTCCATGCTGACATAAAGGTTGGTCATTGTTAGTGTGTATAAGATGAATTGCATAGAAAGCAGATCAAATATTGATTGCTGGGAATTCAATCATTTGGAAGATATTGGTAGTTGCTTGTACCCAGCCTGCACTCTAAATTTATGGAATTGGATACTGAATTGCCTCACATTGCAAGTGCTGATAGTGTCAAATAGTAGTTTCCGTAAGACAAACAATGAACAATGTTGGTTAATTGCACCAAATATCTTGTCAAGCTATGTCGTTGCTGCTATTACATTTTTGATATATGCTTGTCGTATGTTTTGACTTGGTTGGTTGTGCAGTCTGTTGCCATTTGAATTCTATGCTTTTGTAGCTTTGAAAAACTTACTTTCATGTGTTGTGTAATACTATTTTTCTTTCTTCAGGTGCTTGAGGACATTTTGAGTTGTTGAGGTTGTTGGTCTAAATTAGAAATGACTTGATATATGTCGTTCTCAAGTACTCAGAGACTAGTGGCTTAAAATGATGAGTTCCTCTCTGTAGAGAGCCCATAGGAACTGCATGATAGTTCTCAACTCAATGTTTTGTTTCGTAAAGACCAAATTAGGATTTCACAAATCTTTGACATAAGAAAATCTCACACTGATATAATAACAGGAGAAGCCAATTAGCAATATACATGAACATGGATCCTGAAACACAATCAGTCTGCAGTCTATATAAGGTCCATTGTATGCTGAGAAAGCACTAAGTAGTTTCAGAATCTTATTTGGAGTAATGACACCTGAACTTAAGATGATCTATGCTTTCATGCTGTCAAGAATTGGTAGCAATACTTGAACAAGTTGGAGACCAGTACCTGAACTTGGTTGGATTGATATGTACAAGGATTGGTATGGAATGGATATGGTCAGTGCGGACCTAAATGAATATTTAGAAATTATTTCGGATTTGATATGAAGGTTTACTACGGTATGGGTCTATTGGTGTCCAGTCAAACTGGCATTGGTCAACTGTGGTATTTAATTCTATGATACAAGCATCTAAAGTATGTTGTGAAGTGATTGAATGAACCTTCAAGCATTATTTACTTTAAAATCGCATCTCTCTGTCAAGTTGTTAGAATTGTAATATATTAGCTTGTGTGTGTCAAAGCTTATTTTAGTAATGAGTAAATCTTTCTTTTTTGCAAGTGAAAAAAAGATTTACAATATGCTGTTGATATAACATACTTGGAAATCTTTTTTTTTTAACTTGCAAGTTAAAAAAAAAACAGATTTACATAGATTTTAGTAATGAGTAAATCTGATCAACCTGTCATGGATCAGTTGTGCCATTCTTCTGATGATATGACTTCAATTGTAGGAGTTGGCCTGCAGCATTATATATGCTGTTGGTTGCAAATATTAGCCAGCTTTGTGTTTGGATGTATAAATTGCTGGTGACAAGCTATATGGTTGTAAACATAAAGAAGCTAGTTGATACTTGCAAGTATGTTGTTTCGATCAAGTTCAATTGCTGAGCTAAGTTTAGGAGTTAGACATTTATACACAAATTGATTAGTTGAAAGTTGTCTCATTGGTTTCGTGTGCGGCTTTTCCTACTGACATCAAACCTATAGCAAGCTGAGTCCTATCTTTGGTACGACTCAGCCTAAAATTCTCATAAGGTGGGAACGTATTTATCATTTCTCACGTCACTTGCGTGTGCTGATTCTTCTATTGACTTCAACCTATTTATTTTAATTCCGAATGCTCAGCTCTGCACAACTGGAGGCAGATAGAACTACGGCATTGGAAGAAGAAACATCCCTTCCCGCGGTTACATGACAGTATAACACGCGGGAATATAAATAACTTCTCTCTGCTTGAGAAGAGGAGGGATGTTCGCAGATGACCAAACGGCAAAGATTTGATGGGATTAGTCTTGTTTTTAGTTGGCTTGGCGGATAGTGAGTTGCATCGACTGCTCAATGCGTCTTTCTTGGTGGGCGTGTGTGGGTTCGATGTTGTCGATGTTAGTTAAATCTGATCCACTGTAGCCTCTCTATTGTGCACAGTGAGAGCCAAATGTGCGCGGTTATAACTCATTGGATCAACGCTATGGAAAGGTTAGTGGTTTTGACTTCAACGATCACGATGGAGCCTCTCAACTACGCCTTCGTTGGTCGTTACAAACGAGTCGTATTCGGCGTGCACACTTACTGGCGCTGACACTTGAATGTCATGTAATTTAAGAGAAATACGAATTGGAGATGTTGGCTAATTACTGATTATGCAGAATTTAGGGAATTAAGATTTAAATGGAATTTGGACTTCTTCCTCTTCTTCTTCTTCTGACTTAAATTATTTGGAGGGCCAACAGGCGAGAATTAAGTAGTGTCTGAACCGGTTTCCCGCCGGCAATTGCACCCGGTTTTGCCGTCATGTCGTCGCCTCCTCCGCCCTCGAGCCCGACGCCGTCGCCACCCAACCCCACGTCGCCGCCTCCTTCCACTCCTCCTCCGATCGACCCCACGTCGCCACCTCCTTCCGCTCCTCCTCCGATCAACCCCACGTCGCCGCCTCCTTCCGCTACTCCTCCGATCAACCCCACGTCGCCGCCTCCTTCCGCTCCTCCTCCGACCAACCCCACGTCGCCGCCTCTTTCCTCTCCGCCTCCAACAGCTCCTCCGCCCGCACCTTCCTCGTCTCCTTCGCTGACGCCGCCGCCCGGTATTCCGCCGACGTCTCCGCCCACGCCGCCTCCGTCGAGCCCCACCCCTCCCCCGGCGTCTCCTCCGCCGCAGGCGCCTCCTGCCTCGCCTCCCGTGTCGCCATCGCCTCCTCCTCCTACGGTCACACCTCCACCGTCGCCTCCGCCACCGGTGAACCCGCCTCCGCCACCGGTGAACCCGCCCCCGCCTCCGCCGAGCCGGTCTCCCCCTCCGGCCCCACAATCACCACCGACTTCGCCACCTCCGCCGCCACCAAAGAGCCCGTCTCCCCCGCCGCTCGCTCCGTCGCCTCCTGCGCCACCGACGCCTCTGGGATCTCCTCCACCGCCACCCGCCCCCTCAGCCTCCAACCCTCCGCCTCCGTTTAATGCGTTACCGCCGCCACCTCCGTCTTCGACAAAGTCAAGCGAGACATCGACAGCAGCAATAGTTGGAGGAGTTGCCGCTGCTGCTGCCATCGTCGCATTGTTGTTGGGCATATTCCTCTTTTGCTACTGGAGGAGGAGAAGGCAGCGGTCTTCGCCTCCTGCTCCGCCGCCATATTTAGGTGCTTATTTCTCTCTCTCTCTCTCTCTCTCTATCTCTCTCTCTCTCTCTCTCTCTCTCTATATATATATATATATATACACATATATATATATTCCTTATAAAACATCTAAAACCCTAACGATTGATATTGTTATAATGGTAAAAATTAAAGCAGATACTGTTTTCATTTGTATTGGCAAATCCAATTTTACCAACTCAACTTCGACTGCAGTGGAAATGTGAAACACAAGAGTCTGTTTTTTCTTTTTGAGCAAAGCAGTGGTAATTTGTTCATTTTAGATATCATCTCACTAGATGAGGATGGCTGTATTTAATTGGTGAAATTTGTGATTATTATGGATAGAAAAATAATGCTTTTCCTATTCTCCTTACACAGTGATGGATTTCTTATTTTCTGGATAATTTGCTCTTGCAATTGACTGTGATTTATCACTTTATCTGGAAATATAAGATAGGTTTGCAACTGTAGGATACCATTTAGGATTTATTATAGATCTTTTTTAGTTCAATCTATACTTCTCTGATTTTATGAGAAACTTGTTCTCCATATTCTTTACTCACCCTATCTTCTCTTTGCATCATCAGTTGATCCATATGCTCCAACCTCACCAGCAATATATACTCTTGCCACAAAGCCATCTGTCGGAAGCAAAGACTTAAGTTCTGGTTCCCAGCTCTCTGAACCCGAAAATCCATTTTTGCCATCTTCACCTGAAATTGCCCTTTCATTCGCGAAGATTGCCTTCACATATGAAGAATTGGCAATGGCAGCAGATGGATTCTCTGATGCTAACCTTCTCGGAAAAGGCGGTTTTGGGCATGTCTATAAAGGGATATTTGATGGAAAAGAAATTGCTATCAAGAAATTGATGTCCGGAGGAGGACAGGGGGATCGGGAATTCCGGGCAGAGGTGGAGAAGCTCAGTCGTGTTCACCACAGACATTTGGTATCATTGGTCGGATACTGCATTTCTGGAAGCCAGAGGATACTTGTATATGAATATCTTCCGAATAAGACTCTTGAATTCCACTTACATGGTAATCTTTAATCGAATGAGTACCTAGTCATTGTTTATTATATCAGCTTCTTTTGCAACTTGAATACGATACGTAATGATTTTTGCTGAAGTTCATTGTGTGAGTGGAAATTAAAAGAAATTGATGCTAAAAGTAGTGCAAGACAGTTTGTTATGGATATGCTTTTATTTAGCATATTAATGTCATATTTTCACATCATCGAAACTAGTAACACAAGATACTTAGATTATTTACGTGGATATTAGTTGTTCATGCTAACTGTTTATCGATCTAGTTTTTCCCTATGACTTGATTTTTTTCATGTTACCTCTTCATGTTTCTGTATTTCTGGTGTTCTTTGATCTATTTGTTTCTTCTAGTGTTTCTCTAATATTATTCGGTGATAATATAAATATTTATTTTTATTTTTTATTTTCTTTTCAGTGAAGTATAATGATTTTTGAATGAATTCCAATCTTAATAATGAGTTAAAAGCATAGTTAAAATTAGCTTCCTTTGGCATGGTTAAGTTCCTGTTTGTTGACAGGAGATCGTAAAACACCATCGAACGCATTAATACCAAAGGAATAGCAAAACATCATCCAATCTGTTAATACAAAAAGAATAAGTTCCATTCCTGTAGATATATAGCTCCTTAGTTTAGTGGTCTGCTACTGAGCTACCTCGAAGGTGGTGGCTGTATCTTGTTGATGTGGAACTAACAGAAGTAGTCTGGAAAAAAAATCCTACATAAGTGCAGCATGAATTATGGCACTGCAGTTCATAGGCTTTTCATTCAAAATTCTGTTGATTCGAGACCTCCAAAATGGCAATTTGTATTTGCTTTCTACTTGCTTCTTTGTGTTTGCTTCTCCCTTTTAATGTAATTTTGTTCTTATGCAGGGAAGGATCAACCAACTATGGAATGGCCAACCAGATATAAAATTGCTGTGGGTTCTGCAAAGGGATTAGCGTATCTGCATGAAGACTGTCAGTTCCTCTGTTTCTTTTATAGTTTCAAGGCTAATTTTTTGACCGTGCTCATGTGACGACATATGGAACTATGTTATAATACCATCACCTCTGATCTTCTTCAGGTCGCCCTAAAATTATTCATCGTGATATTAAGGCTGCCAATATCCTTCTTGATTCAAACTTTGAGGCAAAGGTAGGATAAACGATCACTTGTCATCTCTTTCTCGTGTCCTGATCGTTTATAAACTATTGACTGATCCAGTGACAAATCCTTGATTGGGAATTACTAAGTTGAAGACAACATGCAGGTTTCAGATTTTGGACTGGCTAAGTTTCAAGGTGAAAGTGATACCCATGTTTCGACCAGAGTTGTGGGAACTTTTGGGTGGGATGAAGCATATTTCCTTCAGTTTGTCTTTGTTGTGGTTATATTAGCCTTTCATGTAAAAACTGATTCGTAACTGCTAATCATTTGGATTATGTCATTCGATTCACGAAATCTGTATGCAATTTTGCTTGTAGGCCAGACATCAAAATATTAGTCTTTCAACTCTGTGATACAAGATACCTGTAGTTACACCATGTCTTGTGTTCTTTTTCCTGTAGGTATGTGGCACCAGAATACGCAACTTCTGGCAGACTCACAGATAAATCCGATGTTTTTTCTTTTGGGGTCGTGATGCTGGAGTTAATCACTGGAAGAAGACCTGTTTATTCAAATCAATCTTACATGGACGAGTCTTTGGTTACCTGGGTTGGTCTCTTTCCGATAGAATCTTTTTTATTGTATTTGCACCGTTCGTATCGTTCCTTGAACTGTGAACATTTCTGGATAACATGGCTTTTGAATTGGCATTTTAGTACTGCACAATTGTTTCATCAATTGTGAATTCGTAAATGGCATGTAGTTCTCATACTGTTTGGATATAAACTGAATTAGGATTTATAACACGTTCAAGAACTTTGAAGCACATCTATGTTGTCTTACCTCACAAGATTTAGGTCCATGTTTTGCAAATTATGTTATTGTTGTCGTCTGTAATAGCTTGCTTATCGCTAGACTGCATGATCATTATAGATCATAATTCTATTGTTACACAGCTGTTGCCCATGGATTATAATAAAGGCAACTGTTTGAAATGCCTATTATATCTAGAAAACCTTCCACATTGTGGAAATAATGAGGATATGAAGACATTCTTAATCATGGTTGTTACAAAAGCTGACTTCTGCTCTCATGTTTCCAAATTAGTATCACATTGTATCTACATATTGATTTTAAGTTAAAATTGATCTAAGCTTTCTTGTTTACGCTGTTTGTTTTGCCCCTCTCTCTCTCGCTGTCTGTCTCTTTCGTGTCGTAGGAACATACATAATTGTTTAATCGATGCAATTGACTTGTTGTTACAGGCAAGACCTTTGCTGACACAAGCTGCAGAGGTGGGCAACTACGAGGCCCTGATCGATCCACATCTAGAGAACTACGACCCTAATGAGATGATACGTATGATTGCTTGTGCCGCTGCTTGCGTGCGCCAATCTGCAAAACTTCGTCCAAGGATGAGCCAGGTAAATTGGCCTATTTGTCTTGTTGTCGATACATGCTTAGTGATAATCTTGCTAATCAAAGAAATAAAGCTTGCCGATACGAATCAGGTTCTACTTTTACACTCCCAATGTTCTTGTTCAAGATGCAGATCATCTAACAATTTTCTGCTTTTGCATATTATCTTTTTTCTGGTTTCTAATTACATCCATTCTCACAAAAAATAATAGATCTTGTTTATGGCCTGCTTGGAAATACGAATGTTCATCATATCTAATGAGTCTTTTTAAGTTTAGGAAACAGGAATGAGTTGTTTGATTTGGATTGTGCAGATTGTTCGATACTTGGAAGGAGAAATATCTCTTGAGATGTTGCATGGAGAAGTTTTGCCAGGCCACAGTGCTCTCCAGGCTTCATCCACTTATGATTCTAGCCAAAACAATGAGCATATGGTAAGGTTAAGGCGGATGGCATTTGCAAATCAAGATACGAGCAACAGCTTATTTAGTGAGCCGATCAGCGAGTCTGATCCAGAAGCATATAATGATGAGATCAGCAGATTGAAGAAGAAGAGCACCTCAGAATCCAGTTCTGCAGTATAGGATTTGATTTATGTATACATTTGTTGTACAATTTCTCCCACTTGTGTTTTCTTGTTGCTATATACGATTCATGTGCACCTGCTAACTTGTGGGTGGGTAAATAAACCACAGTTTGAAGGGTTGATGTGATGGCTGTATTCTCTTTGTAATTTATATAAAGCATGGTCGGGGATTCATTACTTTCGAACCTAACCGGAATCGGATCTCGATGGTTCAGTTACGATTCTTGATTTTTTGGGGAATTGGCGTTTTTGAACGGGTGATTCTTTGATTTATAAAATAATTAATAATTTTTAAATCATTTTTAATTTTAAAAAATATTTATATATATATATATATAAAAAGAGCTATGTGGTTCGGTTCCAGAGCGAAGGTTAAGAGAGTAAAAGATGGAGCAGTTCAATTCCAAAACCAAAATAAAAGATAGAGAAAGACAAGTACCGAACCCAACAACATGAGACGAATAAAGAGAGAGAGAGAGGAAAAAATTCCCCAACTACTAATAGCATGAGATGAGATGAATAGATGGAGAAAGAATGTATAGATAAAGAAAGAGTAAAAGATGGATGAATAGATACTAGAGAGAGAGAGAGGAAAAAAAGTTCCCAACTAATAGCTTGAGATGAGATGAATAGATAGAGAAAGAGTAAAAGATGGATGAATAGATACTAGAGAGAGAAAAAAAAATCTCGAGACTAGATGAATAGATAGGAAAAAAAAAAAAGTAAAAGATGAATGAATAGATAGAGAAAGAAAATAAAAGATGGAGAACGAACCATCTAGATCAATAGATAAATAAAGAAAAAGATGGTTGGGGTGCATTCACCCAAAACTAAACTTATCTTTTTTTTAAAAAAAAATAAATTTGATTCATTTAAAAATTATAAGTTGTCACATGAGGACATGACTAATTTTGATCTAATTTCCTAATTTACTCGAGGAAAGGAAGAAGATCAAATCATATATTTAGTAATACAAAGCTGTGAAATGTGCCAAGGTAAGGCCTTCTTATCTTCTTCATCCTGCGTGTGTGCTCGACCTAAAACGGATTTAATAATTATCCAATTTTTTTTTAATATTATCTTTTAATTATTTTATATATTTTTATCTCTTTATTCTTAAAAAAATAACCCATTGCTGCTTCCACTCCTACGATTTAACTTTACAAAGTGATGCAATCAGTGACAAATACAACTTTGTGTTACTATACACTAAAAAACTGGGCAGAAAAATATTGACGATGGATTACCTAATTCACTTTTGTACGCAAATTAGTCAATAAGAAGCATCCTATTACCTCCAACCATTTCTTTTAGTCGCTAGAAACCAAAAAGTAGATGCCTAACTGAAGACTATAAATAAGATCATAGCATGTCTTCCTACAATCCATAATGCTGAAATGGTACGTTACCTAACGATTACGATGTGAAGAAGCTGAAGAAATAGAACACCGGGAAGCAGTAATTCAGGTGACACACAGAATTAGCATGTAGAATTCTGCAAAATTTCTTATGACCTATTTACAAGTCGCAAACGAACCAAAGCCAAAGAAGTGTGTTACCAGCCATCAAGAATTGCCAGACCGCTCGAAGAAAAAACTGGCAAGTCTTCCACTACCTGAAACTAATGAAAATTTTGCCCTGCTATATCTGCCAGCAGCAACTAAGGGTAAATTCTGCCAGATCTAGCTCCATCAGGTACTGTATGTGGATCCAGTGCTGACAGAACTTGAGGCATTGACATACCCCCAGAAACAACAATCTCTGCGTTCCCCATGAAAAGAATATCATGAATATTAATTTTGACTGATATTAATGATAAATGAATATAGGCAAAGTGCATTAAACAATTAAAAAGGACAGAAATCTACCAATTCCTTCACGAACAGAAATATTTGGTCTGATAACATCTTTTGAGCTGACCAGAAAAATGTCACCGATATAAAGATGGTTGGTTGGAACATAGACACAGCAGAGTTCTTCCTCACCAGAATAACTCTGTTGGAAGATCAATTGAAAAGAGAAATGTGAGACTATAGACAAGCCACCGGGAAGAAATAGAGACAAACACTAACAACAATGATGCATAGACCAAACGTTGCTCATGCACATGCAAATTCGATATTCAAGTGAAGACAAAAATTATTTACCTTTTTTTGTCTCTTGGACAAGGGCACATGACCTGAGGCTATAGGCAGGACTAATAGAAAGTCATCCTAGGCCACAAATTGGAATACAATGTTCACTCATTCCATGTAAAGCCCATTGAGGTCATAGAGAGAAGCCAAAGCCTAAAGAAAAGGAGCAACCATGCATATAACATAGACAGTATCTGCATCCAGCAGGAAATAATGCAACTATGGTTGATCAAACCACTTAGCCCGTCATTCAAGATGACAATAAGAACTAAGCTATGTGTGGTCAGTCAAAGAATTATTCACTTGATACAAGGATTTTAACACCAGTTTGGGGCCTGTTTCATTAACCTAGTACCAGTGTGATTTTTGTATCATCAAATAAAATAACAAAAAATTAAATGCATAGATACCGGTAACAAGTTATATGTCTCGACACCAATACTTAGTCAAACCAATAAATAATGGTTGATGCATAATGATCTGATCATGATTTAAAAACTTGACTTGATAGCACTACAATGCATGTGTCTTCACATAGTGGTTGTTTCAACACCAACAAAAATCCTGTGAAGTCCCAACTATTTGGGGTCGCCTAACATAGTGGTTGTTTCAAATAAGTAATAATGTTTCAATAATTCTAATACATAACCCATGTCAACCTAAAGCTAATTAAATGTTTGAATACGACTACTACTCGAGGACCACAATCTCTGTATCATAGGAACTCCCTTACTGTCCTATCAAAGTGAAGCCCTCTCTTTTAGTTAACTAGAGTCGTATGCTCTTTCACTTAACTAGTTATCTGCACATGCTGCAGATAAGTTAATTAGCATCCATATCAAGGTATTCCTCGTGATAAAAAAAGACAAATTCAGTGCACGAGACTCTTGCCAATTCGGCATCTGAGGAAAGTCAAAAGTATACAACCTACTCCTGCAGCAACCAGAGAGGATGTTTCCCTGCTGATATTGTCAAAAGAAGTTCAATGAATTGAAGGATTTAACTACGGTAAATGATGCATATGTATCATTGACAACATGCATATCCCTGTTATTGATCAAACCCACCTTAGGGAGCACTGTATGAGTTTTGAAGGTCAGGCACTACGATATGTGTATAGAAGTGCCTTGAAGTGTCCATTTGAACCCTAGTTTTCTTATGTTGTTTAGAAAAAAAGAACTTTAAGTTAAACCTGAACCCTCATATAAATGCTACCAAGTAGAAAGCATTGTAAATCTTGATCTATCAACCATGATAGAGACATTTTCCCACACTTTTTACCCTAAAGGATTGCTTGTGAACTGCCCTGTTCCAATGATCTTATTCTACTCTCTCTCTCTCTCTCTCTCTCTCTCTCTC